TGATTCTTGTGCCTCAGCCTCCCAAGTAGCTGGGATTACAGGCGCACGCCACCATGCCTGGCTAATTTTTGTATTTATAGTAGAGATGGGGTTTCACATGTTGGCCAGGCTAGTCTCAAACTCCTGGCCTCAAGTGTTCACCTCCTTGGCCTCCCAAAGTGCGGTGATAACAGACAAGGGCCATTGCGCCCCACCCATCTTAATTATTTTTAAGTATACAGTTCAGTGGTGTAAAGTACATTCACATTTTTGTGCGCCCAATCTCCAGAACTTTTTATCTTGTATAACTGAAACTTTGTACACATTAAATAGTTCTCCATTCTTCCCTCTCCCCCGCCCCCGGCAACCACTGTTATACTTCCTGTCTCTATGAAATTGACTACTCTAAGTGTGTCATACAGTATTTTAGTGGAATGGCACAGTGTTTACGGCAGTCTATTTTTAAATTAGGCAAGCTGGACTGCTGAAAGCTACTCTGAAATTTCTCCCTGGATCTTGGGCATTTTCCATGTCTATGCTTCCCTAGAAAGCTATGAAACAGGCTTGGCTCTAGCACTAGTGGGGTTTCCAGAGGGGATGCTGCCCCCCAGGGCAGGGGGCTCTGTCTGAAATGGTATGATAAGTCCTAAGAAGAAACTTGTAAGGAGCTAAGAAGGAAAACCCACCACTTTGTCTTCCTCAGGAGAAATCGCAGATACAGAAAGATCTATGGAGAATTGAAGATGTCACTGCAGGCCTGAGTGCAAATAAAGAGAACTTCAGAATTCTAGTGGAGTCCGTCAAAAATCCGGGTGAGTTGTTCATCTTCCTGGGTGTGGGGGATCTGGGTGAGGGCGGGGGTGGTGGGAGGGTGGAAGGCTGGGAGCCAGGTGGGTGGGATGGCCCTTGGGGAGGTTGGGTCTTCGAGGTGCTAAATCACTCCACTCATCCTCCAAGGAAGGGGGTCTTTGTTCCATCCCGTGCTTTGTTTCCTTCTATGCCCCTTAGAGAGAAAAACGGTGCCTTTGTTTCCTCACCCGCCTGTGCCTTCACTCTCAACTTCTGAGAGCAAGCCGCCCCCACAGCCCAGTCCTCCCACCAGCCCTGTGCGGACCCCTCTGGAGGTTCGACTCTTCCCCCAGCTGCAAACCTACGTGCCGTACCGACCTCACCCACCCCAGCTGAGGAAAGTGACATCCCCCCTTCAGTCACCAACTAAGACGAAGCCCAAAGTTGTAAGTAGTGATGACTAGGAGCTGAATGCCATTGTTTCCTCTTTGTCCTCAGATTACTTTCTCCTGGGAGAGAAACTCCTGGGAAAACTTGGGGAAATGGACCCAGCCAGTGTCCTAAAGGAGTCCTTAGTCACAAGCAGTTAAAGAATAGTATTTCCCTGCTATTGTGCCTTAGAACTGGAAGATCCCCGGAAGATGATCTAACCCAACTCTCCCATTTTGCAGTTGGGAGAACTGAGGCCCACCAAGAAGAAGTGACTGTGCTGAGTAGGATGGGGTTTGTGATCTGCAGAGAGGTGTGTGGCTGTGGGTGAGGCTGTCCCCATGCAAACCTCTGTGCAGATCCGCGGGGTGTCTCCTGCAGTTACACAGCCTGTGGGCCGTGAGCTCAGTCCAGTGGAAAAATGTCCTTCCCTTCACCTGCTGCTGAGCACTGGACTGGGTTGTGAGGATGCTTTGATCTTTAAAATAACCTCACAGAGTGTACACAGCAAGAGCAGTGTCCCCATTCCACGGAGAAGAAAACTAAGAGCCTAAACTGTTGACATTTGCTCAATGTCTCCATTCTAACTAGTGAATCCAATCACACCTCCTGGCCCTTCTCTTTTATTCTGTGCCATCTGCCATCTAATTGGGCCTTTAGTCCCAGATCTGGTCTGTGGCCTCTGTGGCTGACTGGGCCAGCACCTTGGTTTGCCTGGCATAGAAAGAGGCCAAGCTCTTGGCAGAGTCTGGGAATGCAGGAGACTTTAAAGAAATAGGAGATGTGGTCAGGTCTCAAGAGAGCTCATGCCTCCAGGGCCAGGCCAGCCTTGGCTGGAGAACACAAGGAGGCTAGTCCCAGTGCAGGGAATCTATAGCAGAGTGGACCTCAGAATGGGGCCCTCCAGATTCTTGCCAACAAAGGCTTGGAGGAAATTCACCTGGGCATCATGTGTCCCTGGACCTCTGGTGAGGTCAGTGCACAGTGCTGGATAAAACATATGAGTTCTGCTATCCTGGTCCTCACCATCTACCTGCTTCCAGCCATAGCCCAGGGCCCACAGCTGCACCCAGGGTATGGCCCACCACCCAGCCAGAGAGTCACTGTGGATTTCAACATCTTGAGGTCTTCCCAATCCTAGATCCGAGAGGTGGACTGGAGCTCTTGCCCTAAAACAGGACAGGGAAAATACCAAAACAAATAGCAGGAATGTCTGGGGCAGATGGCTGCCGACATAGGGCGCGATGCTGCCGGCTGGGACAGGGAATAGGGGAAAAGGCGCTGGCATAGGAGCTGGGACATCCAGATTCCGGGACTGATTCTCTCTGTGTGTCCTCAGGCAAGTCCGTCCCTTCTCTGAGCTTCCTCACTTTCCCTTTTGTAGATGGTCACAGAGGCTCCTCCTCAGCTTGGTCATCTGTGGCGCTCAGGCAGGGCTTTCTCAGCTTGGGTGAGCATCAGGATCACCAGGAGAGGTCCTCTCTCCTAGGAATATATGTGTGTTTGCCAGTTTTACCATTTGTTTTATTACTTGCTTGTTTTTTAACACTTCTAAGATGGGCGTGGTGGTACGTGACTGTAGTCCCAGCTACTGGGAAGGCTAAGGCAGGAGGATCATTTGAGTCCAGGAGTCTGAGGCTGCAGTGACCTGCGATCACACAGCTGCACTCCAGCCTGGGCAATACAGCAAGACCCTGTCTCAAAACAAAACCCATTTATATTTGTGAAACAATAATACCCATCCTGAAAATGACATAAAACAGGATTATA